TTACCTCTTTAAATATAAACCTTACAATATTTCTATTATAACTACCATGATCAGTGTTAAATTCTCTATTGAATTGATATATCACATATCCATATTTATTATGAAAAATATTCCCGATAAAAGTGGTCACTGCGGCCAAACCCGAGGTCACAGGACAATATAAATTACATATTCAGACTCAGCATTGAATGGGCTTTTAATTCCAATCAACAAATCAAAAATGCCAACTTAGGAAACTCATAATGCTATTATGACAGTATCCTTTCTACGCAGCATAGGTTGAAGCCAAAAAAAATAAATCATAAAAAATATTAAATATTATTTATTTTTGAGAGCAATTTACAGTTTCAGTAGTAGTTTTTAATTTTTATAATTAAGTTTTATAAATAAAATTATATATTGTTTTTAATAGGAAATGTAAATACAATATTAATGAACAAAACGATATCATGGACAATCCCACCCACATACCTATAGTACCACCAATGTTATAGTATAGGTCAGTATAATCCATAGCCAACTGTTTAGTAATCTCTGGCTCATAGTAATGAGTTGGTATTAAATTGATCTGGGTGTAATTCATTTTCGATTTTATTTTAGCCAAATTTGTCTCGATCATATTATTAACGCAATACTTCTTAATAATATTATAATGTTTAATACATTTTTTTGTATATTTTATTCACAATAGTCTCGTTCACAGAATCCATATGATTATCACAGAATTTATACCCAGAATATTGCAAATGCTGTTCAATACTAATCTCATATTTGACTCCTATTAGTGGCAAACAATTTAATGAATGGCTGAGTTCATATACCATAAAATTAGCGTGATCAATATTAAAATTATGGTAGTATGCAAAAAACAAATGATCATGATCCGATTGATCATTTTCTATAAATTTAAATGTTTGCCGATTTAACTGTTGGTATGACTTCGTACTGAATCTCACATTAGTTTCGATATATTTTTCAATGACTGATAATATTTGTGATTCCGTGGACTGTATGCTGAGATATACTCCTCTATCCAAACCACGGCTCCTATACGTCAACACAATTCTCTCCAAACGGCTGTCCATTAGTCGTGAATTAAATTTTGCCATAAATCCATTGGTTATGTTTGAAAAATATACTTGCTGAAATTGTTGCGGTATAACAATGCAATTAGTAGTCTTATCAATAAGAATGCGATTTTCATGTTTGAGACATTTTATTCTTGGTGAATTTGTGAATGCAAAATAGCAATCAATAGTCTTATAATCGTACATTATATCACGATTAGCCGTGGACAATATTTCGTAATTTAAATTTAAATAATAATTTGTTAATCCTTTGTCAGCAAATTTTGGCTTATTTACTATGTATGTCAATTGCTGATAATATACTGGATAATTTATAGACAATGCTGTTTTATTTTGCACAGCTGAATATATAAATGCACTGACCTGGGGCACGCTAATACTTGATACAATATTCATTGTAAATTTTACGTTATTTTTTAGATAATCTTGATAAATATCATAAATCTGATAAAACATTAATAAAGCACCAACAATAAGTGTGATGAATTTAATATATTATGAATATAATTGAAATTTATTAAAATTAGTTTTTAATCTCTTAATACTTTTTAATCTCCAAATATTGGCTTGGAAACTAAGTACTGTCAAAATCATTATTTTGAAAACTACATTGATTAAAAATAATTTGAAAATATACTTTTTTCATATTTTCATTGTCTTTTGATATTTGATCACACTCATATGAGTCCACCAAACAACTAATATCAATATACTCGAGGTATTCACTAAATGTTTTATTTTTATAAACAGAATATTCTTTATTCACGCAAAAAGTGTGGATATAATCACTACTGGGTGTCAGAGACGTATATTACTCTTAAACATAAATAATATTTAATAGTTTTTATGATTTAATTATTTTGGGTCCAACCTCTGATTCAGTAGAAATTTTATTTGAATACTATTGAAATTATTATTAAAATAAGTGTTAACATGATTTTTATGTCATTATAAAATTAATAACTAATTTGTTGAGTAATATAATTTATAATTTTATTTCCAATGTTTGCAACATAGTAATATTTAATTATTAGTTGATATATTTTATCTTTTTCTTGAGTATTTAATTAATTAACATTAAACATTATTATCTGATTCACTGTAAATAAATAAAAATAATTATGTTTATCTACTAATTACTATGTTGTAACTATCATGCTATGAATATAATAACTATAAATATTAAATTAGCCATCATTACTGGATATGGTGAGTACTTTTCATCCAAAAATGATCTTGGTAAGTTTTTATAAAATCATTAAATTTCTAATTATATATTGACATAATTTAAATCATATTCAAACGCTATGCTATAATTTTACTTTTATAATGTTACATAATTAATTTTAAAGTAGCATTATAAATTTTATAAGCTTTATAACTGTAAAGAAATTATATTTATTATGATAGCTTATTATTAGCACACAAATATACTAAAATTGGATTCTGCAACTTAAACCCTTTTATTTTTACCTAGGTAACTTTGAAATAACTATCACTGCGGGAAACGGCGATATGGCTACCTGTGCCATAAAATACGCCCAACTATTGCAGTGACTTATGAAAAATAGATTAAAGAGTTAAATAATAATCATGGTCAAAAAGTGTATGCGGGTAAAAGGTATGATTCCTATAGAAATTGGGATACTAAATTAAAGTATGCTATATTAATAATGAAACTGTAAATTTTATAAAGAATATTTTAAAAACTATTCTTATTTAAATTAGTAAAGTTTTGAAGTATACCAAACATTGTCCAATATTAATTAATATGAAATAAAATTTTGAATAAATTAAAAATTTAATTAGTGAAATCTTATTATCAAATGATTCGCAATGTAAAAACCAACAATTTATGAATAAATGTATTTTAATAATACTTAATTTAATGATATTATACCATCTCAAATAATTAAGCATTATAATTACAATTTTATTATATTTTAGATAAATAGTTTTAATGTAACATTTACTCTAAAATATAATAATAAGTTTAAACTTTAAATACATGTTACTATTATAATTTAACGACTTTTACTAAACTATTAATATAGATTTTTATAATAAATTATTCTCACAATAAATGCTACCTATGTTGATAATAAATATTACAAATAATAGCATGTGTTTGATAGATAAATAATCACTTGTCATAGTTACGATATTCATTAATTAAACTAGTTTGTATCCAATTGAGTAAACACAATAATTGTTTTGTTATTGTACAATAATAAGTCACTGATATTAGTTGCAAAAATGCCAACAGTGCACATAATACTTATTATTGTCTCAATGAGCATGGGTATATATGATTTTAATTATTTTATCAATTTAATAATTATTATGTTAATAATTCAAAACTTTTTACTAATAAATAATTTAATGTATTTGAAAAATGAAAAATATACTGTCTCAATTTAATGTCTACTACTGTAATATTTATTTCATTAACTTATTACTAATTAATTAATATTAAAACTACTAGTACCCAAAGTAAAATATATAGCATACTAATTACATTATTATAATATTTATTTATTTTGTCCCACCTAATATAGCACCCATGTCATGTCAATTATACGGCTACCTCATTGAAAAGCTAGACTCAATAGAGTCGGACATTGTTGATACCATGGTCATACTGAGCAAGGAGAATCGATTTAATGAGTCTGATCAACTTTTATTATACAAACTAAATGCTGACAAACTTAAAGATGAGCTAGATAGTTTGGATGATAATGCTATGCCATACGGTGTAATGCTATCCTATGATAGACTGCGATTGGAGACTATGTACGAGATTAAGAGATTGAGCCCGATGCAATTTACCCATGATGACTTGTTAATACCTGAGATTAAAACTGTAATCAAGATACATGTGTCTATAGCGGACAATTCACTGAAAAAGATACAGGGTAATGCTGATCTGGAGGCTAAAATAAAAAAGTTACGAGTTAAAGTAACAGATGGCGGTAATGAACTAGATAAATTAACAGAGGATTCAAATGTTGAGCAAATATTAGGCGATATAATTGCATGTATTAGGGATTTAGAGACCGAGTTGAGATTATTATTGAATGAAGGTACCAAGCATAATGAATTATGATGTTAATTAATTGTATTAAGGGTATTTTATTAAAAATGAATAATAAACCTACATTGGATATTTATTTTGAAAGTTTTTATTTTAGTATTATTATGATAAACTGTAGTAAAATTATTTGATTTATATAAATATAGTTACTTATTTTTAAATTATTAAATATTGGAGTTGAACAGTATCAAAATATTACAATAATGATATTATGTGTTTAATTAAAGATATTTTTAAAAAAATAAACATAATTATAATACAAATCTTTTAATAATAAATTTAATTATAGTTAAATAATAAATTATGCAATTTATTAAAATATAAATATGCAATTTAAATATTTACTTTTTAAATTTATAAATAATTTTGAATGATAAGTTTTAAGCTGTAAATCAATTTTAAATTAAACTTAATTATTTTTACGATAATACAGTACTTTACTAATTTAAAAACTGTAAATTAATAAAATTAATGTTGGCTATTCACATAAAAAAAATTATTTTTAAATATTAGCTACAACGGATACAAATACTATAATAATTACTAAACAATTTTGATTGATAAACTTGTGGGTTATAACTTTTATTAATAGTAAGTTAACATTTAAAAATATAATTAATAAATACTAATCATGTGTATTTTAAAATATCTCATTTATTTTTGTTATCAGTTTAGTAATTATGTTATCAATACTGACTTGAAGTGTAAACAAATTGTTTATATTACATAAGTAATATAAGACATTTTATAAATTTCTACAGTATGCTCATTACGTGAATATAAGCAAATGTTATTATTCAAAATTAAAATAATATATTTATTAATAAATTATTTATAAAGATACTGTATATATTATATAACGTTTAAAGTATTGTATAATATTTTGATGATGACAGGTGGCAATACTAATAACTATAATAATTCAAAAGCAAGTGATGATAATAATGTAATATTAATTGAAAATAAACAAGGTGTCTGTGTGATAACCCTGAACAGAGCCAATAAACATAATGCATTTAACCTGCCAATGTATACCGGGCTCATACAGGCGCTTAAAAATGCCGATAATGATGATAATATTAAATTAGCCATAATTACGGGAAATGGAGAGTACTTTTCAACCGGAAATGATCTGGGTAAAGTAACATCATTAAATTATTAATTTTATATTGACATAATTTAAATAAAATTTAATATAAAATAAAACACTAGGCTATAATTTTACTCTTAATCATGTTACAAAATTAATATTAATTTAATATTACACTCATAGTGTTACATGTTTTATAGCTGTAAATATATATTTATTAAAATAAATTATTGTTAACATACAAAATATTATAATTGGGAATCCAAATGCTCAACGCATATTATTTTTACATAGGTAATTTTGAAATAGCAATCACAGAGGGACATGGCGATTTGGCTACCGGTGCCGACAAATACGCTCAACTATTGCAGTCATTTGTGGCCGCATTCATAGACTTTCGGAAACCACTGATCGGTGCAGTGAACGGGCCGGCCATTGGTATCGGCGCTACAATATTAGCCCTAATGGACGCCATATGGGCCTCGGACTCGGCCTACTTTTACACACCGTTCACAGCACTGGGTCAGTCACCAGAGGCCTGTAGTTCCCATACCTTCCCGGCCATTATGGGTACCATAAGAGCCAATGAGATGCTTATGTTTAACCATAAGATGGGGGCACAGGAGGCCCTTGAGTACGGATTCGTATCACGTGTTGTCCCGAAACAGGAGTTTAGGGAACGGGTGGAGGAGTGGGTGTTCGGAGCGAAGGGTTTACTCAACATTTCGTACCCAAAGTCAATGCAAACGACGAAACAATTGCTGAGAAGTGCGACAAAGAGACGGATATTACGGGAGATTAATGGCGAGGAATGCCGTGTTTTGAGGGAACGTTGGTTTTCCGATGAGTGCCTACAAGGGCTGCAAAAGTTTTTTACCCGAAAATTGAGTTCAAAGTTATGAGCAGTATATTAATTATATTGTTAACAATCCTTAGATAAAAATTTATATAATGTCATTGAGTTTACTAGAAACAGTAACACAAATTTACTTTTTAGACTAGTTAGACTAGGTAATTCATAAATTAAATATTTGAATAATAACACATTAAATGCATTAAAATAAATTATTTTTAATGATAAATTAAATTTTTATGGTAAATGCTGTAAATAAATTAAACTCTAATATATCTTGTTTTTATTTGAATTATGTTAATATAAATGGTGCAATTACTATTATAAGATTTTATCTTATTGTTATATACAGGGCGGCCAACATATGGCTATACTACTTTGACTTCAATTTATTTCAATACCGTCTTGTTTATTTTAT